TATCAACTCCTGACAGCCCTGCTCCAAGCATCTCTTTTGTTTGAGAATCAAGAGATATAACTAGTACCCTCTTCTAACTTTATCACAATATGTGTTCTTATACTATTGCAATCTCATTCACATGAATTCATCACCATATTTTAATTTTATTTTCCGGTTATTTCCTTTAACTACCTCATTAATTCGTAAGTAAAGTTATAGAATTCTGTTTTAAGTGTGGTTTGGCTTCTTGGAAAGGTAAGACACGGTTCTACAACTCTACTAAGGATCAAAAGACCAATTCTACCCTTAACACCCCTAAAATTATTTGTTATAATACTCAACAAAATCTATCAAGTACAAGACAGTTCGACCCTTCTTTCATTTTCAGTTTATATCTAGAGTTCTAAAACTCCAAATTATATGAGATCAATTTTGTTTAAAAGATAATATCCATACCTACAACTTTTGTGAGAACCCAATCTGAAATTTTATCATTTTGGCTCTCTAACCATAGCTGAAATGTGGGTGATAAAATTATTAAGTCCCAATACATAAATTAGACAACCAATATCTCCCTTTTCCTACTATTAATAATATAGTTGAACATGCCTAAAGAAAGGCACTAAGGATTTTCTTCAATTTAAATCATAATTAGCATGCTTTTGATGATTAAACACAAATCAAGCCACCACACTTTCCATTCATTTCATTTATACTAATCTAATTTAAACAAATGTTTCATTAAGGTTCAAGTTTCTCCCAACTCAATCTGAATGAATTCAATCCAAACGATGAAGTTAACCACCATTATAACATGAAACACATACCAAAACATCATAGCATTGTAATGGTTAGATCTTCCTAGACTAAGACATAACCAAAACGGACCTAAAAATTGACAATACTATTCTCTGATGACTAACTTCTTATCAGAGTCTATAATCCTAATCTACATTGTTCATAATGAAGACTAAGAATTAATTGTTCATTTCACTGATTATGTAAATCTTTATATTTTAGCTTAATAGCACAATTAAAATGAATTCAAACACTTCACTCTACATGTATATAAGATTAGTATCAGTTCAAGATTCAGCAAGTTTAAATTGTCAAAATCTGGTATTTAAGTTGGTCTAGTCAACCGTTTGGTAATACCAAGTGAACTGGTTATTCAATGTGGTGTCGACAACCCTTTCTTTCTCTTTTTCTTTCGTCTCTCCTTGATTCTCACTTTAGCCCCTTCAAAATTTCAAAGTATGCCTTCAATTTGTTATTCCTTAAGATTTGGTGCTCGTTCTTTTGATCATTGTTTGTTTTGTTTGTAATAATTTATTAAATTGGAATTCTTTGATAATTTCATCCCCCTTCAATATTTTTTATCTTTCAAATTTTGTTCTTATTCTTTTGATTGCTATTTTTTTATTTGAGATAATTTTGTAATTTGATTTTTTTTCAATATCATCCTCTATAAGTTTTTTTTCTTATCAAATTTGATGCTTCATTCTTTTTATTGCTTTTTTTTCACTTTGAAAATTTTTTTAGATTGATTTTTTTTCCTGTTTTTATTATTCAATATTAAATTAGTTTAGAATTATGCTTCTTAATCAAGTTCAAGTATAGGATTTCATAAGTTGTGAATTTTAGAAATTAACTAAGGTTTAGGAGGTTTATCCTAGTTTGCTTGGTTTTTTTTTCTTTTTTAAGCTCATGTTTATTTCAGTTTTATCCTTTAATATTTATTTAATTAGATATTGGGCTCCATTGATTGTTTTCTATTTTTTTCTATAAGATTTTACACTTATTTTGAAAATGACTTGGGATATCTCGAATATTTTTATTTGTTATTTTTTTAATTTTTCTTTTTAATAAACATTTTTTTCATTTAATTAATTAAATAACTATAGGCAAGCGATGCCCATTTCATAATATTTTGAAATACAAAATAACTAAATAAATTGTATGCGGTAGATATTATTTTATTGGTAAGGATAATCATTTAATTAAATATAAATTTATTCAAATAAAAATTTTATTAATATATATATTATATTATAATATTAAATATTTTGATATTTATTGAGAAGATATTTCCATAAAAAAGTCTGCCTGATAGTTATAGACACAGAAATATAGCTTTTACACTTGCAAAGTACGATGTCGGGTGTAAATCAATTTTCCTGTGATTGGTTTCATTAGACGTGAGAAGCAGGGCGTTCCTCTAATTGGTTGTTTACTAGTCTGCTTCCTCATTAATTGAGATATCTAGTTAGTCACTTGTGGTTCAAATCAAGGATGGTTTTTTTTCAATTTTATAATTTAATAAATATAAAATAATAAAAAAAAAGTTGTTAATGAGTATAGGATAGTGCGTGGACGATCCCGCACATTTTAGGTGGCATGTACAGTGATATTTGTTGATCAATTGCCGCTGTGGAGAGGCGGCATATGTGGCAGATAGCTCTTTGGTGTGTCAACTTTTTTTTCTCTCTCTTTTTAATTTTCATGTGTAACCTTTAAAATTTTAAAGCATCTCTTGAATTAATTTAAATTTAGTTTTTATTTTTTTATTATTGTTTTTTATTTAAAATAATTTAAAAAATTAAAATTCTTTAACAATTTTAATGTCTCGCAACCAACACAACATTATTATGAACTTGTGGATTTGGAATTGGGCTAGGAATTTTTCCTATCCTGATCTATTAAATAAATATATAAATATTTTTTAAAGATTAATTATTAATTCATATATATAAATTTTTAAAGTTAATAATAAATTTTTAATTCAAATATATTATTTAAAATATTAAAAAATAAATTTAAAAGTATATAAAATTAAAATGAAAGAAAAAATAATTTCACTATTAAAATTACATTTTTTGATATTTTGTGAAATATAATTCAGTTATAATCAAATCTAAATCGATATTATAACAACCCTTCAACCAGGATAAAATAACAATTTCATGTCAACTGGAAAATAAAGTAATTAATTTTTTTCTCTCTCAATTCCTCCTTTCTTCACTTGATTCTTTCTTAGATTAATATTTTATAAGTTGGACTTTGTAAATTTACAAAGTTATTATCTCACTTTTCTTATTTTTTCCCTTGGATTTTTTTTATGTTTTTCCCTTACTTTTCTCTATTTCTCTCTAACATTTTCTTTTCTTTCTTTTCTTATTTTGCTTCTGCCTAGTCGGCAAGATATAAAAGAAAGGAAGAGCTGATTTGTTTTATTTTTTAATAGCAAATAACCATTTTACTCTTAATGAGTCATTTTGCTTTTATTTGACAGCTTTTTTTGTTAGCACTACTAAGCTCTGTTTATCCTAAATTTTTAAATAGATTTTATTCAATATATCTCAAGATTTCTTATAAAATTTCAGCTCAATTTGATAGTCGGATTAAAAATTACGCTCAATAACATACGTAAAATTGGTCAAATTGTGATTTTTCATCAAATTTCTGATTTTTTTTAAAAAAATTGAAATTTTAATCCAAATTAAAATATCATATTAAAAGATTTCATCTAAATTTTTAGAATTTTTTGATAACTTAATTAAAAATTAAAAATTATTTTTTATATAAAACTAGTTTAAAATATTAATAAAATCTTTACCTGTTACATTCATTCCAGAAGCAGGGACCAGTCTGCTTTCTCATCAATTTTGAAGAGTCTCGCGCTCATCACGGTGTGATAATTTTGAAGAGTCTCGCGGTCGTCACGGTGCATTGCTGGAGGAGAACTGCCAATGGTGGCTGTTTACTAATCTGCTTTCTCATCAATTGAGATACCTAGTTAGTCACTTGTGGTTCAAAAAAGGGACCGGTACTGTTACATTCAATATTCAATTGGGTGATGGTTTAGCACGGCATTCCTCTAATTGCCTGTTTACTAGTCTGCTTTCTCGTTAATTGAGATATCTAGTTAGTCACTTGTGGTTCAAACCAAGGGCATTTGTATATTTCATTGGGTTTTTTTTTTTTAAATCAGGGTGGTTTATTTTTAATTATATAATTTAATAAATATAAATAATATTAAAAAATAGTTGATGAGTGCAGGTCAGTGCATGTACGGTCTCCGCGCACTTCAGGTTACAGACCCAATTTTATAATTTATTTATTTATAAATATAAATAAATTTTAATTTTATAATTTGACATTCATTGTCAAATGTCATCGTGGATAAGATGGTGCGTGTGGAAGATGGTTGTTACAAACTTTTCTTCTTCTTTTTTTTTTTATCTCTTCTTGATTTTCACGTTTTCCTCTGTTTGGCTGTTTACTAGTCTGCAAATTTAACACTATATATTAAGTGGCAGACACAATCTTTTTAAAATATAGAGTGTTTCTTGCTTACCTCAAATCTCTTAAAAGATACTGAAGAAGTGTTAATTCGACGCATCTCGGCAATGGAGAGTCGTATGCCCATTGCTATAATTACCTTCACCCTCGTCATCTTCCTCTATGGCAAGTAGTTTTACAATATTACATGCATTAGATTCTTGCATGGAAAACTCTATTATGCATATTATTCACTTTGATTATTCTGCTTGCTCTTACATATATATTTTCTGTTTGCAAATGCAATACAAATTACTTTTCATTATTCAATGGATTTCGTGAATCAAATAAACTTATCCATGAAGGAGTTTCCGGATAAAAAACAAAAAAGAAAAAAAATATTATAAAATAAACCTGGTTATGTTATTTTTATAAAAGAAAAATATGCGAATTAATGCAAGATTTTAAATATTGAATAATGTACGGACGTCTAGTCCCATATAGAAAACGACGGCCAAGTCTTAGATTCAAGTCCTATTCTTTTTATATGAAAAAAAAAAAGATTCACATAAATTAGCATGAAACAAGAGTTTGATGTATTTAAAACTTGTTTGTATTTTTATTTGATAATAAAAATATTTTCGAATTAGTTTGCCTGTGAACCATGACTGTTTAAAATTTTCTTTGAATCGATCAAGATTTAATTATTGATATCAACAAAAATAAATCTTGCGCAGCTTGCACGCATGCAGGAGCTCAATCTGTGACTTTCGTCGTCAAAAACAACTGTCCATACACAGTCTGGCCAGGAACTCTAACGGCTGCTGGCCGTCCGCCTATATCTTCAACTGGCTTCACATTGGCAACAGGTGCTTCATCTTCGCTAAGTGTCCCTGCAACATGGTCTGGTCGCTTGTGGGCCAGAACACAATGCTCAACGGATTCCTCAGGAAAGTTTGTTTGTGCTACTGCTGACTGTGCCTCTGGTGCCATAGAATGCAATGGAGCCGGTGCGATCCCACCAGCATCCTTGGTAGAATTTACTCTAAGAGGTGACGGTGGGAAAGATTTTTACGATATAAGCCTTGTTGATGGCTTTAACATCCCAATTTCGGTAACCCCGCAAGGAGGTTCTACTGGCTGCCCTTCTACAAGCTGTGCAGCTAACGTGAATGCTGTTTGTGATCCTAGTTTAGCAGTGAAGGGGGCAGATGGGACTGTGATTGCCTGCAAGAGCGCGTGTTTGGCATTTAACCAGCCGCAGTTCTGCTGCACAGGAGAGTACGGTACACCTGACAAATGTCCTCCTAACCAATATTCGAAGATTTTCAAGCAGCAGTGTCCTGAAGCTTATAGTTATGCTTATGATGATGAAACGAGCACGTTTACTTGTCCTAGTGGAGGCAACTATTTGATTGCCTTTTGTCCATGATCAAATGTGGTGGTTCACAACTGTTTCTTTTTATGGAAAGAGTTGGAGGACAACACATTTAATAAATGTTTTTATGATAATTAATAAAGAAATGGAATAATAGATTTGGGATTGACATATCCCAAAAGGATGGATTATCAATTTTCATGTTGTTTGATTTGGTGAAGCCATAGGCCACTCATTAGAAATTGACGATATTTTCAGTTCATTGGTCAAGGTAGCAATCCTTCAACTTATATGTACTCAGTAGATGTAGTGTCGAATTTACTGGTTTTAATGGTAAGCATGCGATGCGATACTTGTTTTATAAATAAACTTAGCTGTTTAATATTTTTTTAGAAGTAACCGCGATTACATAATTTAGGTTGACTTAAAAATTTACCAATACAAAATCCATTAAAAAACTAAGAATTAACTAAGCCATCAATTCAGGCACAAGGTAATTATTCTAGAATATATATAAAAAAAAATATTATAGTTTATAAATATGGTTTGAGGATTGAGGATAATAAAGCCAAGAAACTAGGTTATAAACATATATGTATTAAGAAATTCATTAAAACAAGCAATATATATATTAATCTAATAAGCCGACCAACCTCGAGTATCATTAGTATCCAGCATTTTCTAAATAATGCAAGGCTTCACCATTAAATTAAATGTGTCTTGAAAATCAATTATTTTTTGTGGATAATAGCTTTGGATACCAAAGATGCTTTATAATACTTAAAATTCTCATGTTCCATATTTTTTCTTGTATACTCATTTAGAGCACACCACATTCATAGTTAAATCAATTAGTAAAAATGCATGTTAACTTTGAAAAATATTAAAAGGGTAACACATTATTAGGACCAGAGGAATTGAAAAATAGAAAGAATAACTCATGTAAAGTACAATGTTGAATGTAGCATGGTTGTAACATCATTGCGATCATTGCGAAAAGAGCATGGACTTCTTGTTTTCTATGAATAAAAAATACTTGAAGTAATTACTTTATATTTTAATCAATAAAAATTATAACTAATATTTAGAGTTTAGATAAGAGAATTGAATATGTATATGATGGGTATTATTATCCCTAATATATTACTAAGACATTGTTGTTGTTTTTTTATTATTAGTTTGTTTATTGGTTAAAACAAGTCTATCATAGTAAAGTGAACCCATAGTTTTGTGGGTGAAGCCTCGTTATTCTATAGTTAAAATATATTTTTATATTTTTTTAATATTAAAAATATATTTTATATATATGCTCATAATTTATTGTATTAAAATAAATAAATTAATTTTTTTAGTGTTTTTCAAACATAGACTAGATATATGTGGATCTAATAAACTTGTTTTTAAACATAAAAGGGTAAAGAATGAAAAATTAATTGCAAAAATGATCTTCAAAACTTGAAAAAAAAATTAAAATTCGACTAAGGTTAGTTTGACAAAACAAAAAAAAAAAGAAAAAAAAACCCTTAAAATTTGTCTTGATAGCGTGTTTGTGCCTTAAAGACCCATAAAAGCTCTTCTTTTTTTTTTTCTTTGAAATTCTTGAAACCGTGATAAACCTATTTCTAGATATCAACCTACTTAACGTTAGAAACGAGAAATATAGTTGGACTAGCATTAACGAAAAGCCATGGGACAGTAAAATGAAGTGATCCAGAAACCCTTGCACAAACCGATTCTTCTTCAACCACAAATCATTTTATTTACGGCTTGGCCAATAATTATGCACAGCTAGAGGACTGGATCTTCTGAACATAAAAATCATGCACGATAGTCATTGAAGATTTCCATGCCTGGTTCATGCATCATCGTTAACAAGGGATCTAAAGCAAGGTAGCCATCCATCATCTCATGTCAAGGATACAGACATCCAAAGCCCAAGCATGGAATGGGAAAACTCCCTGACAGAGCATTCTTAATTATCAACAAAAAAAGACCCCTATACTTATTTTCTAAAGCATTGTATTTTTATTTTCTAAAGAAACGAAAAAAGAAGAAGAAGGAAAACATATGACCCCAATACTTATCAACATCTTTTTCCGTGGGTAAGAGCATTCTTAATTAACTAGGCAAGGTCTTAACATGACCGTAGGACATGCAATCAAGTTTTCAAGACCATATGCGTTTGAAGCAAAAAATTGAAAAGTTAGCAATAATTTTCACATAAATAAACAAAGAAATGAATAGAATTGGGGAAAAATACTATAATGTAGAGTAATATGATCAAAAGATTAATATCTTTTTTTAAGTGCAGAAGTATTGAAGTAATAAATAACTCGGCAAAATCGATGTCGAACCACAAGAAGGTTAACTATATAAATTATAAATAATAATAAGAAGAAGTTAAAGAGGACTTTGAGATGTAAGAGTAATGTGAAAATTAAACAATAAAAACAAATGTCATGGTTAGAGGATTCACTAATGGTATTTCAAACAAGCATAATATAGACTCTTTTTATTACTCAACTGAAAATCACACACAAGGAAGATTCCAATCAGATTATAAATGGTTAACATAATTATATTAGTTATCTTATTCGAATAATGCTAATACTTGTAAATGTTATCAGGTATTCATAATTATAACTTATGTTAACAGCAAATCAATTCCTTTAATTGCACAAGTGTCGGTTACGCTATACGGTTGGGCTATGAAAGTGTCAAATATTTATTGTCCCAAGTGTTATACAACATAAATCTAGATTAACTATTTAAGCAAAGTATTAAAAGTGAATAAGATAATAAATACAAAACATGTTAGTATTAAATATTAAAGTCCATGTTGAGTTTACACTATAATTATTCTTACACCATTAGTCTAACATTTTCACCTTGACATAATAAACATAACTAAACATAATGAAAGAAGAGAAACATAAATAAATAAGATAAGAATATAAATAAGATATAAGTTAACTACATAAAGAAAAGAAAATGAAAAGTATAAACAAGAGATTAATAAAAGCAAAACTTAAACATTACAAAAATATAAAAAGAAATACCAAGAACATGATCTTGATCTGAAAATCAAAATGCCTAAATGCATGGAAAATGCCTCATTTTATAGGCTAAAATTTGAAACTATTGATTTGATGACTAATTATTGAGTGGGTGACCAACTCTTGACTTGGTGACAATCATTATATTCCTACACGTGCATGAGAGTGTGGTCACGTACATCAAGTGGTAAACTTTGTAGGGTATCCTCATCATTTTTAGAAAATATGGCCGAAGAAGATAATCAATCACTTCATAATGAGAATAATGAGAATAACCGTGCTAGAACACTTAGAGACCACATGAATCCCACAAGAACAAGTGCACCATCATGCATAGTTTTTCCTCCCGATGCATCTCATTTTAATTTTAAACCAGGTATTATTCAACTTTTACCTTCTTTTCATGGCTTAGAATTGGAAAATCCATACTTGCATTTAAGGGAATTTGAGGAGGTCTGCAACACATATAATAATTTAAATTGTAGCATGAACACCATCAGGTTAAAGCTTTTTCCTTTTTCATTAAAAGATAAAGCTAAAACATGGCTACAAAATTTAAGACCAGGATCCATTCGTGCTTGGGATGAAATGCAACAACAGTTTTTAAAGAAGTTTTTCCCATCTCATAGAACAAACTCTTTCAAAAGACAAATCACCACTTTCACTCAAAAACCAGGAGAAACATTTTACCAATGTTGGGATAGGTATCGAGACTTACTTAGTACTTGCCCTCATTATGGTTTTGAAACATAGAGATTGGTTTCACATTTTTATGAAGGGTTAACACCTAGAGATAGGCAAATGGTTGAATTGATGTGCAATGGAACTTTTGAAAATAAAGGCCCTGATGAAGCAATGGAGTACTTAGACTTGTTAGCTGAAAATGCTCAAAATTGGGACACCGCGGGTACTTATGAGGCACCGAGTAAAACTCAACCTCATACATCTAGTGGAGGTATGTACAACCTTAGGGAAGATCATGACCTTCAAGCCAAGTTTGCATCTTTAGTTAGAAAAGTTAAGGCACTAGAATTGAAAAAGAGTGGTCAATTAAAATCTGTTGAAAACATTGTATGTCAAATATGTGAAACAAATGAACACTCAACCAATAATTGTCCAACCTTGCCTTCTTTTAAGGAATGTCTCCATGAACAAGCCCATGCTTTAAATAGTTTCCAAAGGCCCAATCATAACCCATACTCGCAAATATACAACCCTGGTTGGAGAAATCACCCAAATTTTAATTGGAAGAGTGACAATGCACAAACTTCACAACCACCATTTCAAGCACACCATAATTTCCAAAAGTCTCATGGATATGCACCTCCTTATGCTCCACCTCCTAGAAGAAATTTTGAGGAAACTTTGTATGCATTCATTGAAAAGCAAGAGACTATCAACACTCAACTTGCTCAAAGCATAACAGATTTTAAAGATACTCTTGCAAAATTCACATCTGCTCTCAGTTTTCAAGAAAAAGGTAAGTTTCCATCTCAACCATAACAAAATCCCAAGGGGCAATACAATGCAAATGCAAGTAGTCTTGGAAGTCAACACATGGATCAAGTCAAATCAGTCATCACTCTTCGTAATGGTAAGGTCATTCAAAAACCAATTCTTGAACCTTGTGAGAAAGATGATGAGTCAATCTCTAAGGGTAAGGAAGGGGTTGAATCTGAACATTGCAAAGAAAAGACTAATTCCCCGCCAGCACTTCCATTTTCTCATGCCATGACCAATCAGGAAGTCAAGGATGAAAAAGGCACCGGAAATGTTGATGCAGATTTTTTATCAAAAGTGACAACAGATGTGACACCCGACATCACACCAATTGATGATTACTTTCCTGATAAATCTTTACTTTCTCTTAGTTCAGTGCTTTGGTTTGCTAAAAATATCAATTTTCTTGCTTCAGGATTTTTGCCAGCTCACAAGAGTACCAAAGACCAAAGAAAATTTTTAAGCAACGTGCAAAACTTTTATTCGGATAACCCTTACTTATTCAATTATCATCCTGATCAAATATTTCAAAGATGCTTTCTCGATAATGAGGTAAGTAATTTCATTAAATTTTGTCACTCTAAGGCACGTGGGGATCATTTCTCGTCAAAAAAGACGACTGTAGAAATCTTACAAAGTGG